CAAAGACAGCTTGCACGGCGCCAGAATTTGATATGTTTTTATAGAGAGTACCTGCATCAAATGACGCTTATGACCTAATTCTTACCAAACCTAGTGTTGCAGAGATAGCCAAGAGGGGCATTTGTAAGACAAATGCGCAGGGTGTACTGCAGCAGCTGAATGATAATCAAGTTGATTAGCTATGAAATCCTATCCGTGGGGCCCCTAAATTACTTTTGATGGGTCGAACTTGAAGTTCGAAGGATCATTCGACGTTAGCTGTCGTAGCTAGTTTGTGTGTTTTTGTTAACTCTAAAACAGTAAATGTTGGGAGGTCGCATTTAAGGCGCATTATGATGTGCTTAGGCAGACGTGCAGTTTGCGTTGTATCAACTCATAACCAAATATATTCGCGGTTTCCCTCTTAAGTTCTCCTTTAAAGGAAGTGTTTTATCTATACCCTCATATAAACCCTCGCACAACTCAAGACTCACTGACATGTGCCTATTCACTGGTCCTTGTTCCCCAACATCATAATATAAGCTGCCTTTCGTAGGCTTCTAAGTCAACATCTGTTCAACTTTATGGCTTTCCTGCAAGCGATAAAAATGCTTGGAAGAATATAATTCATTTGTTCCTCACTTTCCAAGCTCTGACGAAGGCGAACATGCCGAAACATAAGCCTAATGAGTGGTTGCATCAATCTTGGGTTACGGCTTAGTACTCAAAGAAGTATAAAAAGGATGCTGAAGAAGTCTTTTTGAAACGTCTTAATATAAAATAGTAATATTTCCTTTTAAGAATTTTCCCAAATTTAAGTTAAAAATGTGAAACAGTGTCCAAAAGTGAAGTGAGTCAGAGTCAGTAATTGATTTCTATTACAGCAAACCAAGATAATTCCCATTTGACTTGGCAGAAACACAAACAGTAGAACTTCAAAATCAAGAAAAGGGAAGAGGATATAGAGTAATATAGCAATATAAATCAGAGGATGCGTAATTCTGTATAGTTCAAATCTACTACGTCAAAATGAAGCATTCCTTATCCGACAAGAAAACATGAGAAGCTGAGCTTAACTAGCATTTTCTTAATAAATAGAAATGAAGCAACATGACTATTATTCACCCAGAGTGTTGAACATGAGAATTAAAATTAATATGTAGTAAATGGCATATTATCGCACCTGTATTGCAATGAGAACACATGTCCACCATAACTCATTGAATCTATCAAAACGATTTGCTAGCGGATAAGTTGCAACTAACGGTAAAAACCGGAAAGCTAGCGCTAAGCACCTGAAAAACATAATTAATTTGCCTCATTAAAACAGAATCAATGCATACCTCAAGGTCCTTCGTAGAATCTCCCAACCACCACTTAGCATGTACCATGGTAATTGGATAATTTGAATGAAGATCGAGCGTTGCTCCAAAATTGGCCTCTGCAAAAAATACACTTTGTGAAAAAACTCGGAATATAAACGAAGAAGCGGTGAGACATTGTAAGAGGTACAGGTACAAGCATGCGGATAAGATATAAAGCAAAAGCTCGGCCAAAAGCATCTGTGATGTTACGTACAAACTCCCAGCTGTGGCATGATGCAAAGGTGATCATGGCAAAGGTTCAATACACGAACCACACTACTAACGGAACATATCTGAACTAGTGAGCACCAACCTTCTCGGATACATTCACAGGATCATTCTAGAACATGGATAAATTTATAAAAGCACACGAAAACCTTTGGAAAATAACTTTTCGAATACCTGCCATAGCCTTCAGCCATCAAAATAATATGACCATGTAGATAATCAACTGTACATGATTTACTTTAAATATATGGAACGTACCACGTGCGGGGTAAGAAGCCATGGATTCTCCAGAAGAGCTTCACATCGTACACGTCTGAGATTGATCACTGCGTAGACAGTAGCACCACATGCGACTTGGAGTAACCGGATTGAATGTGGCCTACACTGGCTAACTTCATTAGAAAAAACATGCAACGGATCAAGATGGGCGAAAAAGAACTTCGTAGAAATTGTGACAGATACAATTATATCTTGCACTTAATATATTCAAGACAGAAAGTAGAGTGAATGAGATAGGAGGATTGATTTAACTATGGGCCTATTACTCAGATTTCAATCAAATTTGTGTGAAGTTAAAGAAAGGACGACAAAGTAATTAGCAATCAAAATGAAGGTAAAAATATTCACTTAACTTTTCCACTTTAGATGTATAAATTGATGAGTGATTTAAATAGATGGAATTACATTGGTACAAAAGTCATAATTGTTAAAAGATTCTCATTTCTGAGTATTCCAGGTGAGAAGACTTTGTAATCTACTAAACATCTTAGAAGACTGACAAAAACTGAATCACACACTTGTTTCTAAGGCTAATCTGCATACAGATGCATTGAGAAACACTTAGATATAAGGGTACACGGTTAAAACAATCAAAGAAAAAGGAAACAAATGAGGAAAGAAGGAAAACTCATAAAAAATCCAACAAACCTGTTTGTGCCTTTACATGGTTTCAACAAAAGAATGGGAGCTCGACGCACTACTGATGCTCCGCAGTGACGTAATGACGTTGCCAGACGCAACGACAGCATCCAAATCTGAATCGCAAGTTATCCTAGAAACAATTGTGAGTTGTCACATGCGACTATGAAGATATGTGATATTGATAAACAAACGACAATGGATAAGCATATCGGAA